ACTATTTCCAATGTCTTTAAAATGTTATCTCCGACTCCGTTCCTAAGGAATTTCTCAATAAAGAAATTACACTGCAACATATGCTAATTTTTGTGTGATATGAAGATATATAAACATATGTTTTATTATACTCACGAGTGTGCCTTGTGGTTGGGTTGTCACTACCCAAATTCTCGATATTACTTGGATTCGTCCTTGATTTTCATGGCGCGTTCCCTTCCGGGATGCCTGGTCCTATTCTCTTTGTACATTTTAAGAGTTTCCATGTGAATCTTTCCTTTGTTCATATTTGCCCTCTTTTTTATCAGCGAGTTCAAGTAACAGTTGTGTTGATATTTCGGTGTTCCCTTGTTGATAAAACAATATTAACGGTATTTGTGATGCAAAAGTATTTTTTTTTAAATGATAATTTATGAATGAACGGTTATTTAGCTTAAGCTAATGGATAACTGATGCCGCGTGAATTCTCGTACGCATGAAGAGTATGTATCATTCAGGTTGTCCCGAATTAGTATACATTTCTATTTAAAGATTTTAATTAAATACCTCTCATACATTCACACGCACTGTACAAAGTACAAGTCGAGTTTATCGTACGATACGCTGTAACAATACACTGGTGTATATACTAATGAAGTACCAACAACGATACTAGTGTTAACAGTTTGGCAGTTGGTCAAGATTGAAAATAATATTATCTGCAAATGGACTGTTTTTTCCAGAACTGGACATTAGTTGTCATTTCGTTGACCAAGGTTTTTTTCCTAGTATTATGCATATTAGATTTAATATTTTTTTAATTGTTTAAGATACATATGGCGGATGTCGTTACTGGTCTCCGTAAATAAATCGGGTTTGTTTTTGTGAACAGTTTGCCCTAGTTTAATCGGTTCCCAGTTCGAATTACATTTTATTGCTTTTGTTTTGGCTTTTGGGTTCATTTTTTTTAACCGCGTCCACGGATGCAAATATTTGTTAAGTTTTTGTTTTTAATGATAAAAACACTTTATTTGATTGTAAAAACGACGTCGAGCTGAATACTGATATGATACACTGTATAATAATAAAAAATAAAAAATAATCAGTCTGTTTTGGAAGGGCTTATGAAGTATTTTCTACTGTTTTAGTGTCTAATTGGCTTCTGATTATTTTATCGATTCGATTAGTCTCAATATCTCATTATCTCATTGGGAATAAACTGTTCTCTAGTGTGCTATGAAGGTCAACGTTTTTGTATTATACACCTTAGCATGCCTTGTTGTTTCCGTTTGACTATCCCGGTTCTCTGTTTGGGAAGGGGGCTTGGAATCGACGTAAATTAACATGTTGGTTAACGTCAAAGAAGCAGAACACGCGTACCACTCCGGAACACCTGGTCTGTTTCTCCTTTTAATTTCCTAAGTGTTTTTCACTGGCTTCCATGTAAATCTTTCATTTGTTCATATTTCGCTCTTGTTTCATCGAAATTGACGGTTTTGTTGGAAGTTTATATTCTCATGTTGTATTTAATAACTTGCCCTAGTATGTTGATGCTATAGGTATATTAGTTTGTATGTTGATATATATTCTACAAACAATATCTGATATATCCATAGAACATGTTTTTTTATCGTTTTTTGTTAGTTCAAAATGATCTAAGCGTAAACATTGTACTTCAGTGTTTTAGCTCTGTTCCAATTACAAATTCTAATCTAAATAGTTCTGTTATTTTTCCTGAGCTTCGAAATGTACTTCCTATTCTTGAGTGAAAATATAAAAATATACATAACAAGTGATTAATGTAATGGCGGCCGAGAAAAAAATCTCGGAACGAATCCTGAACCCGCACGTAATTCAAAAGGAAGTCACTATTTCGACCAATCAGAGGCCGCGACTGACATCTTGGATGTGCAGTAACGAAACCAAAAGGTAAAATGCACATCACAGCAAGCGCCCCAATGCTTCCGAGGAAATGATCGGACAAGTTAATGACGAAAGAAGATAAAGAAGATGAAGACGAAAAAACGAAGTAAACCAATAAGTCCCAAAACTTCTTTTTTTTGGGCCTTAATAACAAATAACCGTTTTGAGGACTAGATACATAGATGTAAGGATAAAATTAACATAAAATATATACCTTGGTGTACTGTCAGCACACAAGAACAAAAAGGGCAAGACAATGCTAGAAGTTTTGCGTTATTCGTTATCCTTAATAACGAATAACTGTCCAACCTTACCTTACTAACAAAAAGCGGATTTTTAACGTGTGAGAGCATGCCTATTGCTGATTGGCGGACATAAACATTACTGATATATGACACGTTACATGAAATCCGTAGATCACAGAAAGGTAGGACGTAGGTTAAGTTAAGCACTGTATTATGCTGAACGTGTTATGTACCCACTATTAAGTTTATTTAAATTTTAAGTTTTTTTCAGAAATGCTATACCTTGATATCATGCATGAATGATTTTCAATGTCGACACATGTATCTTGCAAATATTTTCATATATATACTAACAATATGTATAGTTGGCACCTGCACATCACGTAACGCCCTAATAACATTGTAGAAATGTGCCACATTAACTAGACTTCAAACTAAGCAATGAATTATTATCCCAATGTGTTGTATTCCGTCATACTATATTTCGGTAATCGTAGCCAAAATTAAAACAGTGGTTTATCACGTTGCAGAATTTTTCTCATAGTCATAGCTATATATATAGACGTTACGCTGATAGTTCTACATTCAGGACTGAAGCTCCGATCCATGTCATTCTCCCGGCACCCGTACCTTCAATAGTCGCATTTGTATATTTGTAAAGGAAGTAGCCCGTGTTCATTGCTCATACAAGCACTATGTTAATGTCTTAATCACTTGCAAGCTTCATTATTCATATGAATTCAGCATTGGTTTCAAACGTTTAATTGATTCAATTACATTTGATAAAATGCCCTTGAAAACAATGAAAAGAACATTCTTTCACGCGAAAAGTGTACAAAAACAGTTGTCACATGTATAAATCTGTCTTAAATTGTTCCTGTTTCTGTGATATATGACCGTCAGGAATAATTTGGGGAAAATGCAAACGCACGGTGATGCAGCGTTCTGCGATTCTATTGTTACTGCAGTGTCATTATGAATTAAACAAACAGTATCTGCTTACTGTATATCTTTAGCTTTAAGGGTCCCAATACCACTGCCAAACATGTAACTAAGTATTAGAAACTCCCGTTTTTCAGCACGACTGTAGTTTTGATGAACCATTTCAGAAAAGAAAACCATACCTTACAGGAGTTTAATGAGAAATGATAGATATGAAATAAACAAATATAAATCAACAACAGTGGTCTGGGTGCATCAATTCAGCGGGACCAGAACGATATTCCAACTCTGGACTTCAGATTGATTACATGGTCGACATAAGCCTAGCCAAACTATGTTACAGACATGTATATGGCCTCAGACAAAAATTAATTCTACTATATGTTACTAACAAAGGAAAAATTAAATTAATATATTTTTAAACTTTGCACAGGGTCTGGTTCCTATTTCATATTGTAGGTCGATTCAGACTGAACATACAGTGAGCTGGAAAGTTCCTCATGACCGGCATTTAAGAAAGATAATTTCATTTGAATATGTCACTACCTGCATGTATAGGGGAAAATACCATAAAACACAAAATATCACTGCGCAAGCCTCATTACTAATTGTGTTCTGCCGCGAATACAAACAAGAAAAATGTGTCAAAAAAACGATCATTAGAATAGATATTGTTGAACAATATTGTAAAAACAAACTTTACAAATCTACCATAGATCAGACAGGAAAAAGTATTTAGTAACTGACCTGAAATGTCCTTATGCACTACATTCGTGTACAACGACCCAGAAGTGTATTTGTGGTCTGATGCCATATATATCCAAACGGAAGTTATTGGGAGGTTACTCTGTAAACAAAATACACTGGGATCCTGAAATACATAGGTTATGTTATTGATGCCTCTTGTGCCTTATATATACATTGGCGACTGAATATTACAAAGACACATACATATACATGTGCACACAGGTGATTACACCTTTAAAATTTAGTTATAGATACACAGTTTCCCAAAATTGAATTACACAGCACATACAGCTGTTTCGTCCTTCTACGACTCAACGGTGATGCTTGGGGCCAAAAGGTTCGAAATTCAAATTTGTCAAAACTACGATTGAAACAGTTGGAAAGGTGTGAAAAACGACTTAATATATGAATTTCAAAATTTTGAGGAGAACTAGTTTATTTTAAATTACATAATAAGTAAAGTGTGTATATTATTGTTAAGTATGAACCGTGTCACTTCTCAAATGAGATGGCTGTGGTCACCAAGGTAACGGCGAACCAGCAGAGTCTACCACTTTGTACCTTGACAGATGAACGTAACACACATATATACACACATATACACATCCCCCACCCACCCACCCACCACACATACACGCACACACACACACACACTCCAAACACACACACACGCACACATACACACATTCACACACACACACATACACACATATACACACACATACACATACATTTGTACACCCCTCCCCCACACACATACACGCTCACACACACACACACATACACAGGTGATTATATAAGAATTGATGTTTTATGTTTGTTTTATCAGCCCATCATCATCTATTATCATAACAATACATTCTCAACATACCTTGTAAACAATATAAACTTTCTTTCGTAATGTTACGTAGCAGTGATTCCCCATCTGTTGGAATGTTACTCATTCTCTGTATCCATCCGATAGCCGGTGTTGGATTACTGATACCATCACATATATCTGATAAGTGATTCGCTCCGATCAGAATGTCTTCACGTGGAGAACAGTTAGCGCACGCGATACCTGCTGCGCAGACGTTATTGAAATGTACCGGTCGAGTCATGAAGCAGTTAAAAAGACACTATAACGACCACACAGCGTGTTGACAACACTTTATTGAGAGTTTTTCAGTGAAAGTTCTTTTATGTTTTTGGATAACGGGAAATATGATGTAAATTTAACGATGCACAGTCAAACGTTTCTGCAGCGCCTTGATTTGATCTTTATCACAGATGTTTGCTTACAAGCTTTTTTTATTATCATTTATTTTTTATTTATTATATTACATGTAAAAGTTGATCAATCGGGAATGCACGATCTTCTCTTCTCTTTTATACAGATTTATTTTAAGGCAGTACTTTGCCGAAGGAAAAGAAAAAAACAAAATCGTACTCTTGGTAAGTTAACGCAGTGCTAGGTAATCGCATATTGTCTGTATGCACAGGTCTTGAACAAAGAAAGCAATTATTTCTGTTCTATTTCGTTTCATGTAATAATGTTGTCAATTGTTCTTGTTCTTATATAGCTATCATCAACAACATTTTCATGAAAATGAAGCTTCGTTAATTCTAATTAACAGCACATTTTGGAAAGAAAAAGAGTTGGAATGCAGCATAAAGGTTGCACAATCGTTGTCCAAAAAAAGTCCAAACAATTCAAACAAATATAAAAGATAGTGTCTTTTGTTCATTTGTTTAAGCGTATAACTAACATTTATAAAGATGAAAGTAAGACACACATGTGCGTAAACTCCTTAATTATGTGAATTTCAAAAAATGGAGGAAAACTGCTAATATTAAAATTGCGTAATGAGTAAAACATGTTTATAAGGGGAGCATGTCACTTGTAAAATGAAATTATTGCGGCTATCAAAATAACGGCAAATGTGGGGCACTGAGAAATCCACCAGCAGACTCTAGAACCTTCTATCTCGAAGAATGAACGTAAGACAAACTCAGATGAACACATCTCCAAACTCTACAGATGGTTATTAGTACAATGCATTACGTGTAATAGACAAGATTCAAACTGAACAATGTTTCAATGACAAAAACTCTAGCGGTGTCACATTTTCAATATATTGGTTTTGTTTGTTTGTGGTTTACGTCCTATTAACAGTTGTTAAATGACGAGCCAGGTTTTGGTGGTGGAGGAAAGCCGGAGTACCCGGAAAAAACACCAACCTGCCGCAAGTACCTGGCGACTTCCCCACGTAGGCCTCAAACCCGCGTCCCAGTGTACGAGAGCTAAAACACAAATAAACAAAAAAAAACAGTTGATTTAATATTGACTGTATCGAATGAAATATTCGTTGTGTATAAACATTCGTTGTTTTCGTGGTTGTTACATGTATTATAGGATATCCATGAAAGTTTGTACCACGAAACGGTCTAAATGGCTTCAAACCACGGATGAAAGTACCCACGACTATTTCGTATATATCGTAATATTTTCAAACGAGATCAGCTGTTACAAGATTTGACCAGTGATAAAAACCGCTATAAACCACCTGTTGTTATCTGTTACACTTCTTTTCAAATCCTCCATTATCTCGTTTTCAGCCCATTATCACTGCGAACTTGATCCTAAGTAAAAAAAAATTATATATATCTGATGTTTATAAGACATTGAGAGATTAATTTACAAATACCACTAGCAAGGTCATTATCATGCCATACAGCTTATCGTACCCGTTGTCTAAGGTATTTGGATATACTGTCGAATGTAAGTTTTTTGTATATAATTTAAAACAGATTAATGATTGTATCGGAGTTTTGTATGATAAATGTTCACCTTCCGTCTAAATGTATGATAGGTAAGGGTAAAATAAGTATAGGTACATGTAGTGTAACTATAACAGGAGTATTCCGTCTTTGCGTATTGCAGAGTTATCTTCTCTTGGGAGCAGGTATTGATTGTTACGTCACTGGTTTGTGAGAGCAACGTCATCAATTTTTGAGAAAACGACGTAATTTTCTCGCACAAACAGTGACGTAACAATCAATACCTGCTCCCAAGAGAAGATAACTCTGCAATACGCAAAGACGGAATAGTAAACTACAGATGTTATGTCTATTATGTCATTTGACTAACTGTAAGGTAAGTTTAATTTTACTGTTAAGGCACAATACGGCATTATAGCGAAGTGTAAAATTATTAAACAGATATTGTGGATATTACAACAGAATGACTAACATAAAACAAACTACAAATATTTCTTTCTTTTACAACAGTATGACTAACCGTAAAATAAGTAATAGATATTATTCCTTTTAACTTGTTCTTGTCATTCAGTAAAGAAGCTAAACCGTGTGCTATCGATAAGGTCAGCTAAACCTAATGTTGTCTTCAAGGCAAGCTTATCATGTCTACCATAACGGTACTCTAAACCAGACTTGATGAGTCTATCAAGGTTTAACTAAACCTAATGTTTCATTAGGGTTAATTTAACCTGATGATGCCTTCAAGGTTACCATAACCATATGAAGCCATGAAAATAAACTAAACATCATGGTATCGCTAACGTAAACTAAACCTGGTGTTGTCCATAAGATGACAATTTATTATAATGACATCATGACACAAACTATGAAAATGATGTTTACTGTCAATTTACATCCTTAGGTGGGAATTCGACAGAATTACGCCACACCAACACACACATATATAAATCACAAAACAAACAATATTAAGGGTGGCATGTAAGGGAGGGTTTTTCAATAAGGCAAATTTGGTATAAAGTTCTAAAAAGATGCTGCCACAAAATGGCGCCGTTGAAAATTTTCTTAAACATGAAGAAAGAGGCCTACAGCCAATGAGATTGTAGCGTGGGATGTCGGCCAATCAGAAACCTCAAAACAATGAGGCACCAAGATTGGGGGAGCGGCATCCTAAGGGGGCTATGTTTGTAGCAACCTTTTAACAACACTTGTCAAACAGTCTAATGCAGGATTTATGTGTCGCGACATAAAATCAATTATGTATATAACTTGCATTTATGCCTACTCCACATAAAACTCAACACATGTATAGAATTGAATAAGGCCATCATAAGATGACAATTTCGGTAAGGTTGAATATAATATGAACATGTAAACAATTATTCTATTTAGCTTCAGAAGATACCATAGTGAGGTCACGTACCCATGTTGAATGAATCAAATACCCCCAAAACTAACTAAGTTGGAGAAATATGAAAAATGTGTACTGGGCCAACTTCTTAAAATACTTCTTGTATAAGTTAAACAGAAATGTTCATATATTGTTTTTTGCGAAATGCCTGGAATAATTTTTAGATCATATTTATTTCACTTATTAATTTACCTTACATTGCATAAACACGTGCGTATGTATGCGTTTATATTTTCCGTGTTAAACATTCTTAAATCCTTCAGTTCCTTCAACTATAGACGCCAACTGATGATGAGGATGTTCCGTTAGGAAGGAAATACACAAAGTGCTTCAGATGCTGTTTTTTCTACTTAATTGGTGCGTTATTCATTTAAAGTGTTTGATAAGTAGTTCCACGTGTTTAGCGTCATTGAATGTGAAGTTTTCATGGTGATGTCTGCTATTTTGCATCAACGTAAAATGCACACTCATAACAGTTGCATGGGATCCAATATATTTTGATCAAAGGTAAAATAATTCAACAGTGATCTTCACATGAACTCTTTGCTGTATTCATCAATCTAAAATTGTTCAGTTATAATAGGATAATAACCATTGCATTCGGGTTAATCGAATAATCGACAAAGCCAATAATGAAAACTTACCCGATTTCAATATTATTTTAATATATTCTTTTAATCATAATCAGATTCTGTTTCGTGTTTTTCAATTTCAAAAAAAGGAAAGTCGCCAATCCCGGGCAAACTTATGTCCATCCTTGAAATGGTAATGTTATTTTCTTCAAATACGTTCAGCAATGAGAATAATGGCAACAACTCATTTACCACTTATCAGTATAATGTGATTGGGTGGAGCACAGTGCAGGGTGCCTTAGGCATATGGTATTTCAGTGAGGTAGCACTCTAATGTCGCCATTACGTCCGCGCTATGACACAGAGGTAAACACATCAACATATCAGGCCTGCAGCACACATTCACACTTGCACGCGCACATTAATTACATGGCGGCACGTCCTTAAATGAACACTTAGCTGTTGCTAGGACGATAAACCAAGTAACCCCAAAATCGTTTCAAAGATTCAACAAAACTGGAAGAAAAACAGTTATTGTGAAAAAAGCAAAATCCAATATCGTTGAGAAAAGGTCACGTGAAAAGTGTTCGCGCCTCTGATAAAGTACATGTAAGATAAATATTCGGAAAGTTGAATAAAATTGAAAACAAACTGCACTTGTGTGAGTCATAACGAGGCGTAGTTCCATTACATCGCGTCAGATTTTATCATAGAAGAACTATAACGGTTACTCCCGTGTGTCTGTTTTTAACATTAAGTACATACAAGTGCACGCGAGATTTTTGTACCGTCCGTCCCTCGTAGATAACAGGCCAAATAACGGTGTATCACTGGGCCGTAACAAAGACCGCGCCGGCACCTGCTAGGATATATGCACGTACATTACGTGCGTATCCATCTATTCAGTCACCGTGCAGTTTCAATGTTCTTCGCTCAAATGTACCTAAAGGATAAAGTTGCGTTTTAGGAATCACCTCCAATAATTTTCTGTCGACATTCTAAAAGTACAGGATAAAGGATTATCTCACCGCTGCCAAAACATGCATGTTACTACACATTCGGGCCATGGTTTTGATCATTAAAAGTGGCGATGTACAATGTACATGCAATACACTTCCTTAAATGACCTTAGCTGTCGATAGGACGTCAAACCCTTCACACAATGATGGTATTTGATGTCATTTTTAACAATTTCTAGAAATATGAACATAAAACACACAAGGATGGTTTACACCTTTAAGATGTGGTAATAGATACAGATTGCCGAAATTAATTTATATTGCACCAGACATATTCCTTCCTTCAAGGACTCATCGGTGATGCTAGGGGCTATACTGTGGAAAACCGTAATGGGCTTAACTTATGTTGAAACAGAACAGGAGGCCCAGGAGCAAAAAAAAACATCAATTATGAATTTCAAAATTTAGAGGCGTATTGGTCAAATTTAATTAATAATATTTCAATTTCTGCTCACGTTGGACTCAATGCAACTGCCACATGTTACCTGTTTCAATTGCCGATTGATTTGACTAAATTAGCAATGTCTGTGCGAATGAATCTCGAAGGGAGATAACTATTGACATTTTGAAACAAAGATGTTGTATATTATTATTAGATACCACTGGTATGAGATTTTACATTTTTATTGAAGCTACATGTACACAAACAAAATGTTCAAGCAACCAAAAACGATCAATCAGAAAAATATCATCAGCTGTTGCTAGCGGTAGAGACAAGTCATGCTGCCCTAGAAATTCTCCCTCCAGTTACCATTCTTCCTCCTGTGTCCGTGTCATCACCCGGCTTTTTAGATACATATTTGAGTGTTTTAATTTATTTTACAGACAAAATTGTTTGGTTGATTCATTCACTTTATTATTGAAAAGCATCGCAAAAATTCAAATGTATTTCAATACGAAAGACAGCTCTCCTTTTTTGTCTCCAACAACAATGTGTTGATTGTTGGAATTACCCGAAAATATCCTTTGCGTCATATCTCTTTCCTGATGAATCTAAATTAACTAGATATTTAAAATGTCGGAGCCAATATGAACAGATTAATTTCCCATTCTTTCTGCTGTTGTGTCCCCCAAACCCTTTTTATATCATCAACATTTCCCAGAACACAATATGACGGTAGCTCCTATATCGATGTTTAGATATATGTATACATATATATCCACTAGCCCTACTGAAGATAGGCCTAGGACTACTCTTAAAAACATACTTTATCAGTTCATGACAGGGACAAATGAAGGCCTATATAATGTCACAGATTAGCAAAAGCTACATGGACGTGGCTTTTTTCTGACTTTTGAGGCTTTGCCTTTTTCATATTACATTTGCAGGCGAAATGAATGTAAAACTCAGATGGATCCTATACGCGCATATATCCTCCCTAAAACCTTTCACAATAATGCAAAATACAAATCAATCTACAATTGTTATTCGGAAGACCTTAAATTGGTGAAAAAAAATACACAAAAATACATTTATTCCGGAAAAACAACCTGCCTCCGTTGACTTAGTTGTATTTCATTACA